GATCTCCACGATCTTGTGATAGCCCACTTTGGCCAGGCTGTGTTGAAACAGGCCCGAGACAAGCTTACATGCGCTGTTATCCCCTCCACACACGCCACATTTATCAGGAACCTTCCCAGAACCCAACAGGCCATCGCAGCCGGCGCTCTGCCACAGAGAAACACAAGAGAAATCAGTAACCTCTAAGAAGGGGCTTTCACACCGGGTAGTTCTAGGTACTGGCCACCAGGGTGGTTCCCCGAGAACTAATGGTTCCTCTAGGAACTTTTTCCTGGTTGCATTCTGTGGCGAGCAGGACGAGGCCGGTGGCGTGATTGATAATGAGTGACACCTGCACGACACACCAGTCTCGTATCTCTCACGGAGGATCGGAAGCATAAAGGAGGAGCGACGACAGTGAAGGGTGAGAGAGGACCAGGCCTGGATTTTATTTGTGTTTTGCTATATGTGACAGCAGTCGTCCATGAGGGGTTGCTGTCTTTGCTTTCATTTTGGGCCAATCAGCGAACACTAACGTCACTGTAGTTCCTATAGCGCTGGTTTAGACTGACTATGGAGGTAGTTCCTCCAAAAGGAGTTCATAGAACTAACATCGAACAAACACGCCAGCAGGAACTATGAGAAGGTTCCTCCGGCGCGAATAGTGTGTGTGTAAGACCTGCAGTGAGGTCCGTAGTGTGTGTTTAAGACCAGCAGGGATGAAGATGTTGTCACATGATCAGTTTGTTTAGCCAGCTTGTTCTCTTCTGGTCACTGAACGTCTGTTTTCACGATGAACGCTGCCGTGGGCGGAAACGAACATTAATCAGATATGGAGGTGGGGAATATGTTTCTCTTCTCGGCACTCCATAAATCCAGGGTTTAGTGAATATGTGCAGAAAGACAGGAGTGAAAAGATGAGAGGAACGACGAGTGAGGAAAAGAGAAAGAGTTTGGAGCCGGTGATCCTGTGGGAGGTACGGACTCAAACACCCATAATCCCTTGCTGCAACCAGAGCAAGTGCTCATCGCAAACCCAGCTCAGCTCTCCAGATCCCAGTGTCCGAGTGCCAGACTGGTCCATTACAGATTCACAATCAATGCTTTCACACACAACACAGCGGTCAGTGGAGGCGGGAGGTCAAAGCTTCGTCAGTAAGTGATCGTTCTTGGTCTGTACGCAAATATAGTTATCGCTAAGTTCCCGTTATCGCTATGGTTATCATTATAGACATCAAATCATCCTTGGTCGGTACCCAAATATAGTTGTCAAAATCGTTTTCGGTATGGTTTCCGTTATAGACAAAATAGGATGATTGGAAATGTAGTCTGAGAGAAGGACGCCGTGGTGGAGGAGGACCTCTAGTGGAGAGCCAGGGAATACAAACCAGACACTGTGACAACTGTAATTATCATTATAGTTACCGTTATAGTTATCATTCTTAGTCTGTACGCAAATATACGTGTTATTATAGTCAATATAGTTATCGTAATAGTTACCATTGTAGTTTTCGCTATAATGACCATTCTTGGTCTGGATGCAAATATAGTTATCGCTATTGTTCTATTTATTGTTTTAGTTGGTTAAGGTTTTTATACTTTATGTTATTGCAAAAGTTATCATTATAACGTCCATTTAGTCTGATCAAAATCCCTTCCGACACAAAATACCAATTATATTAATGACTTTCAGGGATGCAAGCAGGAACTTCTCAAGAGGACCTGAAGGATTCCTGAAGCATCAGACATGAATCCAGGTCATGTCGTTCCCAGAGTCTCTCTCTCATCTCCCTCTCCCTCTCTCAGCCCCTCTCCCTCTTCTCTCTCTGTGGGACATCCGGCCTGTTTGGCACCCGGAGAAACACCAAAACACGGATTTCAACATTCCTAAAATTCCCTTCAGACTCGCCGCTGAACGACAGCTGACGGTGTTTGGTGAAGCGGCTTCTCCTGTAGTTCATCACATCAGCTTCTGCTCTGAGAGGACCATCATCATCCTCATCCTCCTCTCCTGAAACACCACACCTCTCGAGTTTCCGGCGGGATCAGCGCCTCGTCTGATATGTAATCTCCTCTCTGAAGTCCATCGACAGTAAAAGCTCTTTGAAGGACTCGGGTTCGTGGTTCACCAGCGAGAGAGAAGCAGCCGGACTGACCCGAAGGCTACGGTTACAGGCGGCCCGAGATATTTTACACTCCATACTGGGCGAATTCAAACAAAAGCACCTTCACACACGAAGAACACACACTTGTGCAAAACCAATGCCCTCGATGGAACACACACTCTCTGTCCTCCATTGAATCATCACAATTATTACGGGTGATTCAAACAAAGCAGCTCTTTGTGTGTGTGTGTGTGTGTGTGTGTGTGTGTGTGTTCAACATTCTGATATTCACCTGGATCTTGTTTATACTGAAACTTCCCATTCTAACTTCTATAGTAATAAATAAATACAGTTGCTAGTGTCTGCTAGTGCTAGTGGGCTGCACGAGTTCCCACAAAGCACTGGGCTGCACGAGTTCCCATGATGCAATGGGATGCACAAGTTCCCACGATGCATTAGGTTGCAAGAGTTCCCACAATGCACTGGGCTGCACGAGTTCCCACAATCCAATGGGTCGCACAAGTTTCTACGATGCATTAGGTTGCAAGAGTTCCCACAATGCACTGAGTTGCATGAGTTCCCACGATTCACTGGGCTCAACGAGTTCCCACGATGCACTGGGCTTGATGAGTTCCCATAACGCACTGGGCTCAACGAGTTCCCACGATGCACTGGGCTCGATGAGTTCCCATGATGCACTGAGCTACATGAATTGCCACAATGCACTGGGCTGCACAAGTTCCCACGATGCACTGGGCTGCACGACTGCCTACAATTCACTAGGTTGCTACACTCAGAGTTATATTAAAAATATCCTGTCTCTTCCCAGTTTTATAATGGGAGAGAATGGAGCCTGAGATTTTGAAGCCCATAAAAGAGCATCCATCCATCCATCCATCCATCATAACATTAACCCATACGACTCCAGGGGTTAATAAAGGCCTTCTGAAGCAAAGCCATGCATTCTTGTAAGAAAGTTTTCCATATTTAATAACTTTATAAACTATAAAATCTGGCTTCCTGTTATAGCCGTAAGCAAGTCCAGTTCTGGAAGAAGAGTGACCTCTGACCCGACGCATGATTTCTGACCCAACACATGACCTCTGACCCGACACATGACCAACGCTTGACCTCTGACCTGGCGCATGACCTCTGACCCAACACATGACCTCTGATCCGGCGCATGATCTCTGACCCAACCCTTGACCTCTGACCTCGACGGATGATCGATGCATGACCTTTGACTCAATGCATGACCTCTGACCCGACACATGACCTCTGGCCAGTTGCATGACCTCTAACCCAACACATGACCTATGACCCGACGCATGACCAATGCTTGACCTCTGACCCAACAAATGACCTCTGACCTGGTGCATGACCTCTGACCCGGCGCATGACATCTGATCCAATGCATGACCTCTGACCCGAAGCATGACCTCTGATCCAACGCATGACCTCTGACCCGAAGCATGACCTCTGATCCAACGCATGACCTCTAACCTGAAGCATGACCTCTGACCCGACGCAATCTTTTTACTTCATAGAAATAAATGGGGAATCATCAAAAGTGAATATTGTCTAGTAGCTCGGAATCCCTTAAAAATACAAAAGAATAAAGAATAAATATTATTGAGACAAAATGTAGAACATTCATTTTAAACAACTAAAACAAAAGACATTTAAAAAATATACACAGAACACAAAGAGTGTTTTCCTCCTGTCTAAGCAGCCTGTGTCTGTATTTGTCTGACAGCGAGTCACATTCCTGTAAAAGTTCATGTGGACCCCATGTGGAGGACGAGCCAGCAGCAAACGCTGGTTCAGGAGTGTGAGCGCAGGGTTTATAATGGGCAAGATAACAGCCCGCTTCACCGCGGTAAACTCCAGCGCTGGAGCCACTGTAATCACCCGCAGACGGAGCAAACAGCTGACGACTACAACAACAGCTTATATCTCAGCTTTCGTGCCATTCCTTGTTTTGTGTAAAACGCTTTAGGAATATTGTGTGTAAACACAATCATGCCAATAAATACTTTCAATTGTAAACTGTAATCGTAAAAAAAGCCTCTGTTTGGAAGCTTGTTTCCGCCACTGAATAGAAAATGTAAAAAAAAGTTAATTGCAACTTTTTCGCTCACAATTCACAATAGCGTGTTATAAAGTTGCAATTGTGAGTTATAAAGTCATAATTGTGAGACAGAAACTTGCAATTGCGTGTTATAACATCCTTAGAATCGGACTTTATAACTCGAAATTGCGAGGTTTATATCTTACAATTCTGAGAAAATATGTCAGAATTGCACGATATAAACTCGCAATTGTGTTATAAAGTCAGTTTATCTTGCAATTCTGAGATATAAAGTCAAAGTTGTGAGATGTAAACTCGCAATTGTGAGATAAAATGTTGTGATTACCTTTTGAAATGTCTTATTCTGCTTCCGTATCTGTTACTGTTCTACAGTTGAAGAAAATAAGCATAAGAGATCATGATATTTTCCTGTTGACAGAATGTAAAGTTAAAGACATAAATCGATCGCGGTCTGAAGCGAGTCGTGTGATTAACGGCTCTCCTGAGCGCTGAGGGAAACGAGGCCGAGGTCGAGGTCGTCGAGGCTTTTCGTACTCAGTCTTGATTCCAGTCCAAATCTTAAATCAAGAAGCATTTACTAGATGAGTGAAATTCTGTCTTGTTTTCTGATTTAAAAATAAATAAATAATTGGGTTTTTGCTTAAAACAAGCTAAATTATCTGCCAATGGGGTCAGAAAAATAATCTTGTTTTTCATTGGCAGATTATTTTGCTTGTTTTAAAAACAAAAACTCAATTATTTATTTATTTCTATATCAGAAAACATTTTACTTTAATTTGTAGATATCTGTGCAGGAAAAAAGACATAAACACTAAGTAAGAAAAGATTTTTTTGCAGTGTACGAGTGTAAACACACACATAAAGCGCACTGAAATAGTCAGCAGTGGCACTGGGTTTCTCACAGCTGGCACACACACACACACACACACACTGAACCTCTCCTCCTTTCATCTCTCAGATCCTGTTATTAC